GAGGGTTCTTGCACAGGCAGGTGCCGAGTAAGTGGGCGCCGTCATTTCAGACAGAGGGGCCTCACTTCCCGGGGGGGGGGGGGTCCCCATCACTCCCAGCCCACAGGTGGATGCTGGGAGGCTGTGGGGTGTATTTACATGGGCGGACGGCGGGTTCTGGGGTCCTGGCAGCGTGCCTGCTGTGTGCTGTGCCAGCGGCTGCGGTGCCCTGGCCACTTCCCCAGCCCAGTCCGAGGCCTGCTAGTAAGGTCCAGCCCACCCTCCCGGCTCGCGCCCCCTGCCCTTCCACTGGGTGTGTTTTCAGAACCGACAACTTTCCTCCAGGGATTCACCCATGACCTGCCACACCCTCCTGCGCTCCCTGGGAAGGCGACACCCCATGTCCTCTGCTTTTGAAAGCCCAGACAAAGGCCCAGCTTGCTCTCCCACTGGCCCCGGGAGCCCAGCCAGAGACTCAGGGGAGCCAGGGCCCGGACTTGTCTGTGTTGTTCCCCCAACTTGTTTATCTGCTCAGCTCCCCAGGCCCAGAGGGAGTCTGGGGCCTCCTGACAGCCAAGCGGGGCAGGGTGTGGCCATGGCAGGGGGCTGCCTCTGCGGAGGAGGGGTGGAAAGCGAGGAAAACTCCCACCCAGAGCAGAGCAGTGAGGGAGGGTTAGGGTGGACCCCATTGTTTCCTTCTCTGCCGTCCTCTACTTTCTCAGTGGGGATAGTGAAGCCCAGAGACGGGCAGCTGCTGCCTTGGGTCACACAGCACAAGGCGGGTCCCTGCACCTGCTCGGTCGGGAGTGGGATCTGCTGACGTGGGCCGTTATGGTTGGTAACTGGCTGTTCTGAGCGTGTGCTGGGACAGGGGCTCGGCGCGAATGGACCAGGATCACCACGAGGAAAAGCCTGTTTACCCAGTGCTGGGGACAGAGGCCTCATCTCTGACCCTTTCTCCCAAGGCAGGGCAGGGTCCCGGCACGTAATCTCTGGCCTTGTTCTGGCGATGGTTGTGGTTTATGGTAGCGCTGGAAAGTTTTACTTTAAAAAATAATTTTTTTAAAGATTTATTTAATTTATTTATGCATGTAAGGGCTGGGGTGTAGGCCAGAGGTGCAGGGTGGGGGTGGGGGATGTGTGTGTGATAGGACTCACCAGAGACAGAGTGGGGAGCAGAACAGGCGGATCTACTGAAATACACTCCTAAGGGGAGCAGCAGGGAGACAGGAGAGGTCTGCTGCGCCATGCGGGTCAGCTCCCTGGCCGGGGATCGAACTCGTGCTGCGGTGGCTGGTGATAGCTTCATAGTGCTGAGACTTACCCCCTTGTCCACCAGGGCGGCCCTAAAAAATAATTTAAATAAAAAAGAGATCTCAAAATTTGACAAAATTTTGCTAATTTAAGGATTTAGTGAAAAGGGCTGAGTGACAAACCTGAGGTGGTAGGAGAGGCCCCCTGTGCTGCCAAGGTGGGGTGCGGTGGGGGAAGCAGCATGAGGAGGCAGTGGGTGCTTTCTGTGCCGGGTGCCATATTTTGTCTAGCCCTGGGGAGGCCCTGTCTCTCTGGAGCCCGGGGCTGGCTGGTAGAATAGGGTGCCTTAGCCTGGAGCAGCCGTCCTCACCCTGCCTGGGTGAGGACAAGGTTCCTACAAGGCAGGGCTGGGTCAGACCCTCCCAGATTCCTTCAGCCCTCTGGCCTGGACTTTTGCAAGGAAAAAGTCTCAACTGGGTGCCAAGCCCGCCCTTAACACCTATTTCGCACTTGCTAATCTCCCTCTTTAATGAGAAGCAAGCCAGGGAAAAGGCATCAGAGCCTAGTGGTAATTGAATTTAATAACAAGCTTTTGTTTTCCTTGTATCTATTTTTTTAAATGTTTTTACTCTGCTGTTTGTGGCATGGCTTCTGGTGTCTGGGTCTTGGTAACAATGCAGCATTTCCTCTGGAACAGGGGATGTAAAAAGTGAGTGGATTGGAGGGGAAGGAAACATTTGGACTTTTGGGGGCGGGAAGGCCCTCTGAGACACCCAGGGATAGTTTATTTATTTAACAACCATCTAGTGAACTTGAACACAGGCCTTCTGAGTGCCCCCTTCTCCCTGGGCACTCACTTGATCCTTGCTGCAGCCCTGTCTGGTGGGCAACAGAGAGGTGCGGTGACCTGCCTGAGGCCACACAGCTGAAGAGGACTGGAGCTGAGACTTGCCTCTGGGTGGTCCTCTGAGCTTCAAGGTGGGGGACCCGTCTTTGTACCTTCCTGGCTCCTGGGGGGGGGCTGTAATTGGTGAGGGGTAGGCTCCTGGGGTCCTGTTATCTGCTTTTCAGTCTGTTTTGTCTACTGAGCCCCCTGGAGGGCAGCCTGGGCTAAGATCTGGGCACCTTCCTCCTGGGCGTGCTGATTTGGGCCTGTCACATGGACGGGGGAGTCCTGCCTCCCCACGAGATAGGACAGTATCACTCTTCTTCCCTGGGCCTCATTTTTCCCATCTGGTGAATGGGGGCCTGTGCCCACCCAGCCTCCTACAGATGGGGCAGCAGGGCGTGCTGTGCTTGGACTTGCAGGTGCCGCCAGCAGAGACTCGGCTCCAGCCCCCCAGTGAGGCCGCCCTCAGGGTCTCAGATTGTGATGCCGGGAAATATTTGTTTTTTCCTAAAAATCACCTTTTTCAGGTCTGGTACCACTTCCACCACTCTCCTTTCTCAAAGTCTGTGTCTCTGGCCCTCCTCGCTGCATCAGGATCCCAGCATCTGGGGGAGTTCTTGGAGCTGCAGGGAAGGTTTCTGTAAAATATTTTTTAAGCACTTCGCAGGCAGAAGGGCGCACCTGGTAGAGAGTCACTGTGGGTACGAAGGTCCGGAGGTGGGAAGACGTAGGGAGAAGGGCCTTCTTTGGCCTGTGCTCTTGGAGCCTGGAGCCAGGCCCGCTGGGCCCGGCTGGGTGAGCATTGGATGGTATCTGAGCAGGGAGGAGCAGGAGCTGATCCAGGCACCAGGAAGTCTCTGGCAACTCAGGGGCCAGCCTAGGGAGGAGCAGTCCAGGTTCAGCCTGGACAAGGGCCAGAGGGAAAGCTGGGAGAGAAGCGCTGGGGTTGGGGGCATCAGCACCCGAGCATAGACCTGCCCCTCGAATTTTGTGGTGGTCGGTGCTGCCTACATCCCTGGATGTGAGGGAGGCCAGGCCAGAGGGTGCCTGGCACGCCTAGCGCCTCCTCCCTGCAGCGCGGTGTCTGGGGAGCTTGCAACTGGCCGATTGGACGAGGTATCTGTCTCCTGCCCTGGGTTTGGAGCAGGAATTCAAGGACAGTCTGGGCTGGGCTGCGAATTGGAAAGGGGATCCCGAGGCCTGTGGTTGGCAGACTTAGTAAGGGCCAGAGCGGGGCAGGCTGCGGGGAGCCTTGGGTGGACTAAAGGGCGGGGGTAGGAGTGGCAGCATTTCAGGGCCATGCTGGGGCCTTCTGGCAGCATTGTCAGGGATCCAGCACTTGATGCCCTGGTCAGTTTGTGTTTGAGTCCTGACCACGGGGAGTCTTTCTGTGCCCCATGGGGGGAGCAGGACACTGGCACTGGTCCAACCTAGCCCCTCGTGAGAGGGTCAGTTTCCGCTATATTTATGTATATGTGTGTTCTTTCCAGCTCTGTCGGGACGTAATTCCCATGCTACACGACCTGGCCCTTTAACATGAGTAGTTCATTGGTTTTCAGTACATTCACAGAATTGTCCAGCGGCTCTAATTCCAGAACATTCTGTCACCTCAAAAGGAAACCCTGGCCCCATCAGCAGTTACCCCAGCTCCTTCCCAGCCTGTCCCTACTAACCTCCTTCCTGTCCCTGCAGCTCTGCCTGTCCTGGACATTTCTTGTCAGTGGCCTCACACCGCGTGGCCTCGTGTGTCTGCTTCTCTCCCTGAGCGTCGTGTGTTCAGGCCCCTCCCTTTTATCGAGGGTGTCAGAGCTGTGCCCCCATTCTTGGTTGAATAATGGTCCAGAGGATGGATGGACATTGTTTTTGTCCATTCACCCGTTATGTGATGGGCACTTGGGCTGTTTTATATATTAATTTGTACAGTTGCTTCTGGGGCGACTCTGTTGGGGGGGTCCTGTTATAGGTAAGATGTGATAGTGAGTTTACTTAAAAGGAGGTGGGAGCTGGTCCTAGGACAGGGAGCCTTAGAGGTGGCTGGTGTGTAATGAGGGAAGGGTGAGGATTGGGGGACCCTTGGGTGGAGTCCCCCTGAAAATGGAAAGACCCTAATTTACTCAGTGGTCCAGCAAGCGTTTATTGCCCTAGGGACATGGCAGCCGGAGACAGACAGTTGCTGCTGTGGTAGATGAGAAACAAAACAAGTGACATGAGCAGGAAGTTTCCAACAGTGAGGGCTTGGGGTGCTGGGGAGGTGACACTTAGTAAAGAGGTGAGGAGGCCTCAGTGGGGACAGCTCAACAAGGGCCTGGGGGATCTACAAGGACTGTGGAGGTCCAGGAGAGAGTGCCCCAGGCAGACCCCAGGGGGGGAATGCACCCCAAACATCTGAGGAGGTGGCTGGGGGGGGAGGGGGGAGCGACCATGGGTCTTCGGGGCTGTCTCGACAGCTAAGTAGGCCCCAGCCTAAGGTGCCCCCATTCATGTTCCACTGTTCCCTCCTGAGTGGTCACCAGGGCAGGGTCTAGCTCCTCTCCCTGCCCTGTCCAAGTTAATAGGCAACAGATTTGCTCCCCTGGGTGTGCGGCCTGCCCTGAACTCTCCACCACTGCTCTGCCTTGAACCTTCTAGCAAGCCCAGGTCCCGTGGAGTGTTCACCTCACTGGCGACAGTGGTGGTTTTATCTGCCTACCTGTGTTGGATGTTGAGGGCGTGGAGAATTCCTTCCTGAGGAGAGGAAGAGACCCAGGAAGGCTTCCTGGAAGAGGGGCTAAGCTGCACTTGAGCTGCTCTTGAAGGTGGAAGAGGAAAGGCAGGGGAGCTGATGAAGCATGAGGAGGAAATCGCAGAGCTTGAATGGCTGAGGTTTGCCAGGTGACAGTAGCTGTGGGGATGTGGAGCAGCGTGGAGGAGCTTAGGGGAGACAGAGGCGCACAGGGTGCTGGCAGCCACCCATTGGGGACTTCCCTCCACACCATCCCTCAGCCTTGTGTGACTATGCCCTACCCCCTCCCCTCTCCGCACCCGCCTCCCCCATGGCCAAGGTCTATGTCAGCTGTTTCGTTTCAGTTAGCGCAGGAATGTTCTGGCTCTGCACTTGCCTGGACCAGGACCCCCTCGTGCTGGCTGGAGCTGCCTGGGCTGGGTGTAGGCTCTGGAAGAGCAACTGCAACGCCCCCCCCCACACGCCCCTCTCTGGCTGTCTCACCCGCCTGTCCTGCCCGCTGGGTGACCTTGGGCGGGTTGCATAACTTCTCTGAGCCTCTAAAAACTAAAGGGCCCCACAAGGCTGAGGCCAGCACGGGTGTGTTGGGCTCGGGCCTCATTAGCTCATCTGCTGGAGCTGGGATTATCTCATGTGCTCGCTGCCGACGCCCTCTTGGGGTCCTGAGCCGCCCACATCGCAGCTAGAGCCAGAATTTGCTCCAAGCACAGTAAAAATAATCGCACCGGGACAGGAGCCCGCGCACATGGCTGGTGGGCGTCTGGGCGGTGGGGTGTCCCTCCACTAGCTGCTCGGAGCAGTCACACACGGCCCAGCGGAGCCGGCGGAGGCTCAGACTCAGGCTCAGTGACTCACGCAGTCACACAACCAGTGGGGCCCGCTGCCGCCCTGCGCTGCACCCTCCATGCCTCTCAGCCAAGACTCAGCTTCTCCACCCAGCATGTAAGATCTTTTGTGATCCGGCTTCCGTGTCCCTCAGTGAACCTGAGCGGGCCCTCAACCATGCCAAGGATCACCCCCCACGCCACCCTCCAGACCCCGGGGAGACCCTGCTCCCTGGCCCCGGAGTCCCGCCCTCACCATTCGCAGCGGTGAGGGATGACCATCCAGGTGCCTCACGGACCTCCAGGAGGGTGGACCTCACCCCTCCCAGCCTCCATTTCCTCTTCTGTCTAGTGGGGTTGAGCAGGGCTGGGTGAGCGCTGGGTCAGGTGTTCTTATTTTATTGCCGTTCTCTTGGGGTTCTCTGGTCGTACTGGATTTTATTTTTTGGATTTATGGTGCTGAGCATTATCTTGGCTCGATCTTGGCTACTTCGCAGCCAGCGCAGGTCCAGACCCTGCAGGAAGAGCAGTCCCTCCTGGGTGGGCGTCCTCGCACAGAGCAGGGCCCGCCCCTCGCAGTGGGGGTGGGGAGACCCCATCGCTCCTCCTCGTCTGGCTCCCTCTAGGCAGCCCCTGAGGCCCTACGCAGGAAACCCCTCCGTCCCCCTGAGCCAGGCTGGGGGCGAGATGCTCAGCACCGGCCCCACCCCCGCGTGCCGGGCCTCTGCATTACCATGGGGACGGCGCAGTTGCCAGGGCAACCGCCTCCCGCCGGCCCGCCATCCATCACCCGCGGAGGTGGCACGGGGGCTGGATGACTCCGTGCCCCCCAGCCCAGGGAGGGGCAGGGGAACGGGGGCGCACAGCCTGTGCCCTTCAGGCCACTGTGTCAGGAAGGCACATGGGGAAGGGTGGAAATTCTCCAGGACACTGCGCCTCTCTTTGCTGTGGCCCCCTGACCTTCCCGGCTGCCAGGCGCGGTCGCCACGGCCGCTCCGGCCAAGACGCCGCCGACTGTGTGTCGTCTGGGCCCCGCGGCAGTGCCTGTGCTCCTGTGTCCAGCCTGTGCGGTGCCGCCTGCAGCCGCAACTAGAGGCCAGGCTGCCGCCTGCAGCAGAGACTGGACGCTAGGCTGCTGCTCCCCCGGTCCTGTGGGCCCCTGGTGCACTGGGGTCTCGACTGCTCTGTCCCTCTCCCCCAGCTCTGATTCCTTCCTGGCTGGGTCCCTGGAGACCACCTTAGAGCTGGGAGGAGGGGAAGCTGTGGTGTAAACTGGAGTGGGGCAGTTGTGGCTTGAATCCTAGCTCTGTCCCTTCCTAGCTGTGTGACTTTGGGCAGTTGACGTGCCATCTTTGGGCCTGCGTTTCCAGCCATGGGAAGGGCATAGCAGACAGAGGGCACAGCAAGTGCCAAGGCCCTGAGGTAGGTGTGAGCTTGGTGCTGTAGAGGTGACCAAGCGAGCAAAAGGGTGGCAGAGGGGCGAGGACAGAGAAGTGGAAAGGGGCTGGGTCCTCTGGCTTTGTGGTTTCTTTCAAGGGGTAGTAGGGGCCAAGGAGACTTTAGATCAGGACAGTGATTCATTTTGACAAGAAGCTGCCTCTGATTGTGGGGAGAGGAGGGGGTTGCTAGGGATCAGGAGGTGACAGGCAACAGTAGAGGCCTGGGCTTGGATGGGAGGTGTGCGGTTTGCAAGTGAGGGACTGGCGGGGAGTACAAGGGGTGGGTGGCACTTGCCTGTGTCATGCAGGTGATGCGACAGACCCAGAATGCCAGTTGATCTGGCCTTTCAGGAAAGGCCTCCAGATCCCGTAGCTGGATCAAGGCTTTCCTGAGCTCCACCCAGCTGAACCCAGCCTCTATGAGGGAGGGGAGCAGGAAGCCTCAGAAAGTGCACCTGGTGCTACAGGGTCCCAGGAGGCACAGAGAGGGGCAGGTGCCACCTACCAGGGAGGACAGAGCTGGGTGGGGTCGCCTGCTGGGAATGACTGTACAGCAGAGGCCAGGAAATGGAATCTGAGCAGGGCAAGCAGATGGGTACTGCACGGTCCCAAGACTTCACTGAGGAACCATCTGGGTCGGTGCAGGGACTGGGCGCAGGGTGGACCTAGCTCACTGTGTGACTTTGGGCATTTGTTCCCTGCTAAGCCACAGGGGAAGGTGCATGATAGTATTTAGTGCTGGTGGTGTCCACCCCAATTGTTTTTTTTAATTATTTATTTATTTTTTTAAGATTTATTTATTTATGCATACAAGAGCTGGGGTACAGGACAGAGATGCAGGGGGTGAGAGGATTCACCAGAGACAGAGCGGGGAACAGAACAGGCAGATTGACTGAAACACACTGCTGAGGGGAGCAGCAGGTGAATCAGGAGAGGTCTGCTGCACCATGTGGGTAGCTCCCTGGCCGGTCGGGGATCGAACTTGTGCTGCAGAGGCTGCGGATTGCTTCATAGTGCGGTGCTTAACCTCCTGTGCTGTCAGGGAGGCCTGTTTTTTTTTTTTTTTTTTTTTAAGGTTTATTTATTTATACAAGAACTGGGGTACAGGCCAGAGGCGTGGGAGGGTGAGAGGATTCACGAGAGAGAGAGTAGGGAGCAGACAGGCAGATGGACTGAAGACACTGCTGAGAGGAGCAGCAGGCAAGGCAGGAGAGGTCTGCCACGCCATGTGGGTATCTCCCTGGCTGGCCGGGAATTGAACCCACACTGCAGAGGCTTCAGAGAACTTCATAGCGAGACGCTCAACCCGCTGTGCCACCGAGGAGGCCCCACCCCAGTTGTTTGTGCAGATGGGGAAACTGAGGCCAGAAAGGGTGGAGGCTCTTTGGAGGCACAGAGTGCTCTAGGCCCTGCTGCACGGCCAAGGGGTGTTGAAGGTGGTGACAAAAGCAGTTTCAGTCCCTGTGAAGATGGGCTTGCACTGTTCAGAACCCTCCCGCATACATGCTTGTGGCCTCCAGGCCTCCCAGAGCGGCCCTGAGGTCATCTGGGCCTTGGGAAAGAGAATCAGGAGACCCACTCGAACTAAAGACCCCTCCTCTTCCTGCCTGCATTGCCGCTGCAGCCCTGGACGCGGAGACCACAGCCCTGTGGGGAGTGGCTCCAGGTCTCACTGGGCCCAGCATTTTACTGAGCACCTCTGTGTGTGCAGCTTCCGGGGACACTGGAGGCGAAGGGCCGGGTTTTGAAAGCAGGCAGGGAGGTGCAGCATGCCTGGACTGGAGGGCCTGGAAGAGGGGGCTAAGGAAGGGCGGGAGAGGCAGGGGTGCTGCAGGGAGGGGGAGCCCAGTGTCCACTGAAGAAGCCAGTGAGAGGCAGAGCTGTCAGCGATGCAGGGCCTGGGGACAGGGTGAGTGGTCCTGCCACCGCAGAAAAGCCCCTGGACAGCCTGTAGCCCTGGCCCTCCTGATCCCCGTGGCGGCTGCATCCAGGGGGCGGAAGCGGCACTGGCGGCCTCTCAGAGGACATCGTTCGGGCGAAAGAGTTTATGTGGTTTTGCTGTATCTTTGCTGTGTGTCTTTGAGAGGCCCACAGCCCTCTCTGGTCCTCGGCTCCTGAGAGACTAGCAGTGTGAGGAATACCAGCAAGCCCAAGGAGGGAGGCAGAGCCAGTGTGTCCTCCAGGCACCCCCCAGGGTGCTGGAGAGGAGGTGCTTGGTGGGCAGATGAGTGAGGAGCCTGTCCTGATGGGTGCCCAGTCAGGGTGAGGGGCCGTCACCTCCTGAAACCCTCTTCTCCACCTTTGGAGTTCTGGTGAACTCCTGTGCATCCTTCACGCCCCAGCTTCAGTGCCCACTGCCTGGCTCCGTGGACAGAGGCCTACCCCTCCTGTCCCAACTCCTCAGTCCTCCCCTCCCTTGGCCCTGTCTCAAGGCGTGGCAGGAGGATGTCGCTGGGGAATTAATGAGGTAACAAGCCTGGAAGAACACCCCTCCGAGGGGGTGAGGAGGGTCTGACGCTGCAGAAAGGAAAGTCCGAGGAGAAACGGCTCGCTGTGGTCACTCGTGGGCCGTGCGGCCAGGGTCTGTGCTGGGCTGGCTGGACCCCGGGCTAACCTGTCTGTCCTCCCTCGCCTTGCAGGGTCCTGGCAGCAGAGACCATATCCCAGCAGGAGCGGCTCCAGGCCATTGCAGTGAGTTTGCCCTCAGAGGACGCGGCCCGTGGCAGGGGGGTCAGGGTCTCAGGTACCCCACGCCCCAGGCTCTCCACACCCAGAGCTCAGGGCCTCTGGGAGTCAACCAGGACGAGCTGAGGGTTGATCTATGTCTTTGGAAACTTGCGTGCCTGCTGGTGCATTCCAGTGCAGAGAGAGCCCTAGTCCTTAGCAGGTGACCTTCTAGACCAGCAGCCTTAGTTAGACCCCCGGTGCCGCAGGCAAGCTGAGGCCCGCGCGCCGGAACCTCCCCACCACCGCGGAGTGACCAGGCTGTGCGGTGGGAGCGCAGGTGTGCCGGGGCCTGCGGAGGCAGCTTCAACCCCAGAAGCCCCTTTGGGCTTTGGGGGCCATGCCATGTGACTTGGTCCTCCTTGTGCCCCTTGTGGGGGGCATGTGGAGGGACAGTCTGGGGGGGCAAGTAGGGGAAATAACCTGGGGGGCAACGGGGAGGATGGGGCAAGCTCTGGGCAGGTGGGGAGACAGGCTGGGGGGATGACGGCAGGGGAGAGGGGAGGGGCCAAGGGGCCAGTGGTGCCGTTAACAGAAAAAGCGGGATCTTCGTGGGCAAAGCCTCAGGGTGCGGCCCTGACCTGCCCATCTGGCCCCGCTAGGAGAAGAGGAAGAGGCAGGCGGAGATTGAGAACAAGCGTCGGCAGCTGGAGGACGACCGCAGGCAGCTGCAGCACCTGAAGGTGGGGGGGGGGGCGGGGAGAGGGGGGGCCAGTGGGGGCCAGACTAGGGGGGAGAAGGCAGAGGTGACGCCAGGCCCGGCCCTGACCCTGACCACCCCCCACTCCACACTGACTGTGACCTCACTCCTGCGCCCCAGTCTAAGGCGTTGCGGGAACGATGGCTGCTGGAGGGGACCCCGTCCTCGGCCTCGGAAGGGGATGAGGACATGCGGAGACAGATGCAGGAGGACGAGCAGAAGGCCAGGCTCCTGGAGGAGTCCATCTCCAGGTGGGTGGGCCGAGCAGGGACCTGCGCACGCCGGAAGAGGCCGAGTCTTGGGGCTGGGCTGGGCTGGCCCCGGCTGCTCCCATGTGGTGGGAGCCGGGCAGAGCCCCCCACGGGACGTGATGGGCACGCAGGGCGTCGCGCAGAGCCTGATGGGGGCACGTAGGTGGGTGTGAGCATCCGAGAGAGCTTGGCGGCGGCGAGGGAGGCCGTGTGGCTGTGTGGCCCTTTGTCCTCTGACACCCCAGCGGAGCAGGTGCTGAGGATGTGGCGTTGGGGCGGGGCCCCGAGTCTCTGAGGATGGGCGTTGCCAGCATCGACCTCCCCGGGGGCTTCCTGGCGCCAGCCCAGCTGGCCGGCTCTTCCCAGATCTGTTCTAATGGACACCACAGAGCACAGGCGGCCAGGCCTTCGGGAAGTCCGGGGGAGGGGCAGGATGGGGAAAGTTCCCATCCCCCTCAGGCTTGGGACAAAAGGCCTGGGGTTTCCAGGCGGGCAGGAGGCCCAGCTGAGCTCCGGAGCAGCAAGGTCAGGGAGAGGGAAGCGGTGGCCAAAATTCCAAATGTCCCTTTGGCCAAGGAAGGACAGAGAGGCCCGACTGGCCACTGTGCACTGGCCCCCACCCTGCCCGACACTGCCCGCGCTGCACGGGACTCAGACTCCCGTCTGGGTCTGGGAAAAGGGGGGGGTCAGTTGAGATTTCTCTCCATGGGCCTTAGTGTCCCCACCTGGAACAGGGAGGCAGGAAACCCTTTGTGCACCCCAGCTAATAAGCATTAAGTTGCTGGGGCTGGAGCTGGGGCTCAGGCTGTCAGGTCCAGGCCCCTGGAGGCTGACCGGGCAGGAAGACATGCCAGCGGGCAGAGCCGGTGGAATTACCAGCTGTGGGTGCAGCCTGGGAGATGGGGTGTGCAGCAGGCTAGGTTGGGGGCGTCATTTGTGCCCTACTGTGTGTCTGACACACGGCGAGTGATTGCTTTTCTACATGCTCGCCCACTACTCAGTGCCCCCAGAAACCCTCCAGGTTGAGCTGGGCACTGCGCCCCCATCACCTTGTTAGGGGCGCCAGACTCACACCCCGTCTGCCCCGGCCTCCAGGGAGTGCCTGGGGCGCTGCCGAGGGCCTGCACATCCCGCAGCCTTGCCAAAGCCTCGGGCGGCGGCTCTCACGGGACTTCACGTCCCGTTCTGTTTTCACTGGGCTCCTGTTCTGGTGCTCGGAAAGTGACACGGGTTTTCCAGTTTCCCTGGAGACGTGAAGCTTCCTGTGAAAATAAATATATTGAGAAAAGGGAATCTGCTGGAAGTGGAGGTAGAACACAGCGGCGCGGGCGGCGAAGCGCTCCGGAGAGCCCGTGCTGGCTCAGAGCCTGGCTCGGCTGGCGCCCCCCACCACGCCTCAGTTTCCCCCACTGTGAATGGGAGCGGTGAGGACGCCTGGCAGACTGTAGGGAGCACCGGTCTGGGCACCCTTACACCCCACGCTCCCGGGACCATCGGGACACAGTGCCCGGGAAGGGTTGTCATCCCCCGCCCCCTCCCCAGGCTGGAGAAGGAGATCGAGGTGCTGGAGAACAGAGATTCGCTCCCTGCGGCCGCCAAGGAGAACACGGCCGCCCCCAGCCCGGCCAAGGAGGGAGGGAAGACGGAGGTGGTGGTGAATTCCCAGCAGGTAAGTGGCGCCGGGGCTCCTAGGCCGCGCTCACCTGACCCCACCTGTCCCGCGACTGAACAGAGCCTGCAGCCCAGGGCTTGGGTTCCAACCCCAGCTGTGTGACCTGTGCCTCTCCCGGCCTCAGTTTCCCCACTTGTGGGCGCACCCACATGCTGGGATGTCACAGGCCAAGTGAATTGATGGGTGACAAGACTTCACAGCGACCCTCACCAGGGAGCTTTCGACAGCACCACTTCCTGTCTCCGCGCCCTTGTGGCAGCCCTTGTGGGTGAGCGGGGTCCCCCGATGGGAGGCCAAAACAGGCCCAGGAGGTTGAGGGACAGGCTCACGCCACACTGCTGGCGAGTGACCTTCACGGGGCCTCCGCCGCTGGCTCCAGGGGCTGCCATCCAGCCTAGGCTCTGTTCAAAGCGCACCCTTATCACCACGTTCGTTCACGCAGTCTGGAGTCTCCCCACCGCCCTTGTTGTCTTCAGGACTCAGGGGGCCCCCTCCTCTCCCCTTCATCCTGGTTATCCCCACCCCAGGTGAGCCAGGGAGGTGGTGCCCCGCTCGACACTCACGTCAGGGGTCAGATTGGACAGCCATGGACACAAGAAGGTGGCCGGGCCTCTAATGGCATGTCTGGGGCACTGAGGTGTCCCCAGTGAGGCATTTAATTTGGGGGAAGGTGGGAGGCTTCCAGGAAGAGGTGGGTTTTAAAGGTTAAGTAGGAGTTCTCCAGGCACAAGCTCAAGATAAGAAGGACTTTCAGTGGGGCTGATTGAGGACAGACTCCATGCTGGCTTGGGGCCTGCCCAGCATCGGGAGACATACCCTGGTGATGCCTATGCTCTGGAGGTGGGGGGGGTTTGGGGGCCACCTTTGGATTGGGGGGTGTCAAGGAACTGAATGAGGAACTGAGCAGGGTGGAATCCAGGAACCAGCTGCAGGCGGAGGGCTCGTCCTGCGCACGGGCTCCGGGGTGGGAATGTACTCGAGAAACAGTGAGCCCGCGAGGCCGGCCAGAGATGGGGTGAGTTTATGCTGGGCCTGGGGTCGTCAGGAAGGGTTTGGGCTTTGTTCTGGGAGCACTGGGCTGCCACGGGAGGCTTCCGAGCAGGGAAGGACGTTATCTGGTGCAGGCCAGTAGGTCACTGCTGAGTCAGACCCTCCCTGTCTTCCTGCCCCCTTGGCAGGGGCCCTTCGGTAGAGAACCCTACCAGTGGGAGGCACCCCAGCACCCCTAACTCCTCTCCTTCTTTCTTGCAGACCCCAGTGGGCACGCCCAAAGGTAAGGTTTCTGGAAAAGGCTGGTCTTCACACCCTCTGGAGGCCAGAGGGAGGGTGGTGGGCGCGGGCAGCGCCTAGAAAATACATTGTTGCTAATAAACAGCAATAGTGACTCGCCATTTAAAAATAGCTCGTATTTTTAGTGTTCTCATTAACCCAGGCTTCCAGCCCGGTCCAGTGTCCCTCATCATTTCACTTAATTTTCACAATATCCCTGGGGTGGATTGTTGCCACTTCCCCACATTGCAGAGGAGGAGACTAGGGCTCTGGCTGCGGGTCTGCTGAGGCCTCAGCCGCGCTCCCCAGACTCCGGGGCCATCCCCAGTGCCTGGCAAGCCCCTCAGCCCACACCCGCCTGCTCTGAACTCTGGCAGCTGGTCAGGCCGCTGTTGTCACGTGTGTACAAGGGATTCTGTGGCAGGGGAGGGTGGACGTCCAGTCCCGGGGATCAGGCCCAACACAGGAACCAAAGGAAAAAGCCAAAAATTTGACTCTGACCCATTTCAGGCCCCCTGAGAAGTTACTGCAAGTGGGGATGTGCACATCTGCAGACACCCCACGTGTGTAGTGTGTATGAGACAGTTGCTATACCTGCTTAGCTGTAAATAGCATGGTTAACTATATTAGTTACTGTGTGTATTAGATTTGTTTAATGCAAATTATATTTTAAACTATGCACTGCACTTGTCTATTTCTGCATCTGCGGAGGGCAGGCAGCCCCCACCAGGACTGGGGGGGCGGTCAGTGTCTTTGACCTGATTTGTCATGTGTTAATGATTTATGATGAGAGTGTCTCTTTGTCTTACTGTGAAATTAAAAATTAATAATTAAAAAACCCATGCAGGCCTGTCAGGGATTTTGTGAAAATCGTTTGGACTGAGAGGGGAGCGGCCCCAGAGATGGGATGTGACCCCCTGGCTGGATGGGTTCTGCTTTGGGGGAGGGTTCTGAGCTGCTCTCGTGTGCTTGCTTGTGTTAGGGGTCGTCGTCTTCTGGGCGAGTGGGTGGGGTGTCCACATGGGGGTGTCTACATGTGCGAGGGTGTCCAGGCACGTGTGTGGGGTGCATATCTGGTGGTGTCTACGTATGTGTGTGGGGGGGTCTGAGTCACCTTCTGTCCTCTGACCCCCATCTCTCTCTCCACCCATTTCCCCACTGAGCAGAGAAGCGAGTCTCCAACACCCCCATGAAGACGACCGAAGGCTCCACAATGATGAAGGCAGGTGGGTGACCCCCAGACTCAGCCTGTGCCAGGTGCTGTCCTGGACCCGGTCAGGGCTTGGGGGGAGGTTAGAGGCAGACACGGCCTCAGCAGCACTGGTGAGGGCTGTGGTATGGGGTGGCAGCTGGGCTGAGGCCGAAGTCTGGGTCTGGGGTAGGATCTGGGGACCCCTCTGCTTTGGCACCATCGTCACACACTGGCCCAGCTTCCCCGGAGAAGAGGGGCCTCCTTGCATGGCGGCTCTAACTCACACCCCTCACTGCTTCCACCCCCTTCACCTCACGTTCCTCTCGGACCTGGGGCTGGAGGGTGGCGCGTACACGCACCCCTGCAGACCCTCACTCCTGTCCTCGGCTGCCTGTGGAGAGGAAGCGCGTACCCGGGGGAAGCAAGGGAGTTGGAGGCAAAGCCACATGTCTTACAAAGTCGGGATTCAAATCCCTGTTCCACCACTTGACAACTGGCCCTCGAGTTTCTCACCTGCTGATGGGGTGGGACTGTGCAACCTCGTGCCTAGGCCTGCGCAAAGCAGAACCTGAGGGTGATGGTGACATTCTTGCCCCTGTGGCTCTTAATGAAGTCAGTGCAACAGACAGGGAACCAAGGACGAAGTGAAGGCCATCTCGGGGCGGGGGGAGTAGGTGGCTGGGACAGAAGGGGTGAGGGGTGGGGGGCTGAATGGAGTCTAGGAGACAGGGTAGAAGGTAGCTGGTTTGCAAGGTGGGGGTACCTCAGGGTCTCTGACTTTTAGACCAGCCCAGCAACGCCAAGGCAACATGACCTCACTGCCCCCCTGCACACCACCTGCCCAGCTGTGTCTGGAGGTGGTGTGTTGGGCTGTGTCAGGACATTCATTCATTCACTCAGGTCTGGTTGAGCACCTGCTGTGTGCCAGTTTGAGGGACAAACTTAGGGAGATGATGTTGTGTTGGGGGCGACAGCCTAACTTATGGAAGAAATAAAAGTTTGAGGAGCTAAAGGGGCTCCCCATAACAATAGGATAGGACTCAGGGGAGACCTTTTGACCGGGAAGTGCCCCGGAAGGAGGACACAACCTGGGGTTGGACTGGATCTAGAGTGTTGGGGAAACCGTGGGGCGGCGTGTGCTTGGGGTGTGCGGTAGGCCAGGGAGAGTCCCGTGGGGGTGGGAGGATCCGAGCCTTGGAAGGCTGTGCCACAGCAGGAGCAGAGTGGGTCGCACAGGCGCCCTCTGGTGGCTGAGAGGGGAGAGACTGGCCGAGTGCGGAGGGGTCACTGCGCTGGTCCAGGATGGGGGCAGGAGGGAGGGAAGGGAAGGTAGGGGTTCATGCTGCCCCCCTCCCCTGCAGGGGCCCCAGGAAAGGGCCTGGTGTTCTCCAGCACCCCTCCAGGACTTGCAGATGGACAGACGGGGGTGAGAAAAACAGATGAGGAAACAAGACAGCGTGGGTTTCGGGAGCAGATCAAGAGGGGGGCTGGGCCGTGGCCATTCTGGGCCCCCTGAGGGCAGTGCATTGTGATTCTGGAATTCAGGGGGGCATGGTCAGCTGGGACTCAGTCTCTGTGATTCTGTGATGATTTCTACAGCGGGAGGCGTGGGTAGTGGCCTTGACTGTGACCCCATCCCCTCGTGTGAGGGAACTGTCTGTTCTTCCCAGGGAAAAGACGAGGATGGCTGGGTGGGCAGGGGGGGGGGTGTCTGGCCACCAGGTCCACTCTTTTTTTATTTTTTTAAGGATTTATTTATTTATGCACACAACAGCGGGGGTGCAGGCCAGAGGTGCGGGGGGAGGGTGTGTGTGAGAGGATTCACCAGAGACAGTGGGGAGCAGAACAGGAGGACCCACTGAAATCCACTGCTGAGGGGAGCAGCGGGGAGACAGGAGAGGTCTGCTGCGCCATGTGGGTAGCTCCCTGGCCGGGGATCGAACTCATGCTGCAGTGGCTGCCAATAGCTTCATAGTGCTGAGACTTAACACCTTGCGCCACCAGGGAGGCCCCTGCTAGGTCTGCTCTTGACCATGACCTGGGGAGGCTCACCTCTCACAGCCTCACTCTGCCCCTTGGAGGATATGGGAGCACCTTAAAGTTTCCAGCCGAGCGGGACAACAGAGTTGAGCCTCGATGCCCACAGAGGGGCCTGGGGCCAATGCCCATGTCGCTGGGGAGCTGTGGCAGGATGTAGGGCTGGGAGGGCTGTATTGAGACCTGCGTGCCTGGCATCCCCGCTGCCACCACCGCTTGGCTATATGCTGCCGGCTCCCCTTCCCTGGCTTGGCTGCAGCCCAGCAGGGGTCAGTGGGCAGGGCAGCCCTGGCATAACCTGTGCCTGTTGTGCCAGCCATGTATTCGGTGGAGATCACGGTGGAGAAGGACAAGGTGACTGGGGAGACCCGGGTGCTGTCCAGCACCACCTTGCTCCCCCAGGAACTGCTTCCTCAGGGCGTCAAGGTCTACGAGGACGAGACCAAAGGTACGGACCCCGCGCCCGCCCCACGCCCTAAGCCAGAGCCAAACGCTGTCTGGCCCTCACAGCCATGTTCAGGGGCCTGCCCCCCAGCCGCTGCTGGCTTCGAGCCCCAGAACCTATGGCCCCACCTGGTCTATTCCAGGTCCTGGCTGAGCTCCAGGTGCCAGCTGGGCTCCGGGAATCCAATCCGAGTGGGGTCACCTGACCAGCAGGCCCAGCCCTTCCATCGAGAGTTCACACATAATTCCTTTAAATAATTGCCGTTGCGATAAAGGCTGCGCGGTGGGGGCCGCCAGAGGGTGTGGCAGGGCCGGGCGAGGATGGGCGGTGGCAGGGCACGTGAGCCGGAGCTCACTAGCTACAGGTCCAGCTCGGGGAGCCCTGTCTGGGGCACAGCGCACTCAGCAGCCCTGAGGGAGATGGAGTTAGCTGGCGGCAGAAGCGTGAGGCTCCTCGGGGCTGATGCAGAGTTGGGGGGGGGGGGGGGCCGGGCGGGGCCCAGGGCCGACACCCGATTTGGTCTCTCGAGCGCCCTCCGGCGGCTGGGAGGGAACAGGCGTGGGAGACCCCGGAGCAGGGTGGCCTTGGGCGCAAGCCCGCTAGTGTGTCTGGAGATAAAATTCACATAGTAAAAAGCTCAGTCTTATTTTAAATTAAGAAAACCCTTCATTTAAACGGTCCGGCATCAGCGCTCAGGGAGCAGTTTCAGAGCAGCGTGGCACGTAAGCCGCCGTGCCTGGGCGCCCTGGCGCTCGGTGTGCAGACGCCCCTGGGCAGGGAGACTTCTAGGTCGTGTCTGTTAGGGCTCCGGAGAGAAGGAAGCAAACTTTAAGTAAAAGGTCGGGTTTAAGAAGACCTTACGAAGTTGCATTCACATTCAAGGCGAGCCCTTGTTTTCTTCATGGAGCCAGTCCCGAGTCAAGTGCAAAAGCAGGTGTCCTCGGCGGCGTGGGTCATCCGAGCCGCGGCCCTTGCAAGGGAAAGGCGCGGGGTGACAGGCGCCCTGGGCCGACAGTTCCGTGTGTTCTGTGTGCCCCACCCTGCACGCCCTGACCAGGCAGTCCCGGGCCCTGTCTGTGTCCCGGGTAGAAGCCCTGTGCCCCCTCCCCGTCACGGCGCCGGGAACCCCTTTCCTGGCTGTGCCTGTCCTGGACGCCGCAGCCCGGACCCGCGCTCTGCGTGGCCGCGTGTCTGGTTCTGTCCCGAGCGTCGCACATCCAGGGTCCCTCCCCTTCATTTTATAGCCCAAGAATACCGTGTGGCTGGTTCACGTTGAGGTTGTCCTAGGACCCTTCGGGCTCTCCCACTTTTGATTTTGGGATGCTAGCAAGTTTTTGTGGAGGCGCGTATTTTCCCTTCTGTCTGGGACTCCCCGGGAGTGCAGTGTCAGGGGCCCGTGGGAGCACCATCTTGAGGCTTTGGAGGAACGGCATGGGGGTGCCATCTCGTCCCACCGGTGGCGCCGGGCCCGTTTCTCCACGTGGGCACTCAGCCTTCTCTGTCTTATTAACACCCCAGCCCCCCGGTGGGCGTGAGGTAGCCCCTTGTCTTGGTTCTGGTTCTCAAAGCCTCGGGCTCTTAAAGGTTGTTTGAGCCTCTGGGACATCCTGTCACAGCCCGGCTCTGCCTGGTTTGGGGGGCGTTGCCCCGAGAAAACCCTAACTGCAGTGTGACCAGCTGTGGTGCCCAGGCCAAGTCTCAGTGCCCAATTTCCTGGACAAGATTATCTGCATGGCCAAGGGGCTGGGGTGGTGCCTGTACTGGCAGGAGACCCTCACCTCTGTCACCGCCCCGCCTGGCCCAGTCCCTGGGATTCAAGACCCCCCGGCTGGACTCTGGTTGCTTAGCAATGGGAAGGCAGTCAGTTTCCATGGCAGCTGAGGGCTCGGATTCCTGTCTCAGGTCGGACCAGTGGGAAATACTGTTTGATTCTGTGTGATGAGGCCTCCAGCTCAAAGTCATGGGAAGCCTTGGAGCTCAGACACCCCTCCCTGGGGGTTTGTAAGCTGAGAGTGAAAAGCACTTTCCTTCTGGCCTGAAGCCAGGAGTCTGACCTTTGGCCGGGAGCATGAGGATTCCTGGAGCCACCCTCCCCACACAGCCTGGGCAGCTGCATTTCCAGGAGTTTGCAAGGTGCAGTGACTGGGCCTGTGTCAGACATGGCTGGGACTGCTCCCAGCATGCTGACTTCCGGGGCCTTAACGACCCAGAAAACGTCAGACCAGAGTCAAAGATGAGGCTATTTGGAGTGAATTGGGATGCACATTTAACGAGGTCCACTGCCCATGTAAGACTTTGTCCAGTGGACAGTGGGCAAACGCTGGAGAGCATTTCAGAAGGGAAATGTCCTGGGACAAGGCAGGTCCTTGTAAAGACTGTTCCAGAGTCTCTACTTTATACCCCATGTTCCTAGGCCATAGTCCCCCACCCCCTGAAATTAAAAACACCCTTCTAAATCAATCTCGGCTTAAACAGGAAAGTAATCAAAATGGAGATTATAACCTACACTTGAAAGACAGTGACAGCAGAGCTTCGAGAGCTGCAGGCACAGCGGAACTCAGAGGAAAATACAGGCTCTAGGGACTTTACTAGAAAATAGGAAAGACTGGAGGACTGAGCAAACCTTGAATTCAGGATCAACCACATCACCCAAGGAAGAGAGAAATCAGACCCCTGCCTCCTCAGGTTAGGGAAACAGGCCTAGCAGGGAGGAGGGGTCTAGCCAGCTGCGGGACCTTGTGCTGACACTTCCCTTCTCTGAACTGTCTTCACCACCTTGGCAAAAAATAAAAATAAAAACCAGACCTACTTTGCAAGGTGACCGCTTGGGAGCCAGTCAGCTAAGGAATCTGGAAATGCTTCAAAATGCAAGACAATAAAATCTCATTTCATTTAATTCCAGTCTTCCTATTTTCTAACAGATGCTTTTTTAATTTTTTACTTTATTTTTTTAAAGATTTATTTATGCATATAAGAGCTGGGGTGTAGGCCAGAGGTATGGGGGAGGCGGATGAGAGGGTTCACCAGAGACAGAGTGGGGAGCAGAGCAGGCAGATCCACTGAAATCCACTGCTGAGGGGAGCAGCGGGGAGACAGGAGAGGTCTGCCGCGCCATGTGGGTAGCTCCCTGGCCGGGGATGGAACTCAGGTGATATTGCTGAGACTCAACCCCTAGGCCACCAGGGAGACCCCTTTAACAGGTGCTTTTGAGCAGCTGAGTTTTCCTTTGAGTACCACTTGGGCTGTGTCCTCAGGTGTCACTTAGTTTCTGGTTTCCCTTTGGCCCAGGGGCATGCGGCCTGCGTCTTCCCTCCAGTCCAGGAGCCTCACTCTCTGTCTCTCCCCACTAGTGGTCCACGCTGTGGATGGCACTGCAGAAAACGGCATCCACCAGCTGAGCTCCTCCGAGGTGGACGAACTCATCCACAAGGCAGACGAGGTCACGCTGAGTGAGGCGGGGTCTGCAGCTGGGGTGGCAGAGACACGGGGGGCTGTGGAGGAGATGGGCAGGACCACGCCTTCCCGGCGGGAGATCACGGGGGTACAGGCTCAGCCAGGGGAGGCCACCTCGGGCCCACCGGGCATCCAGCCTGGCCAGGAACCCCCCGTCACCATGATCTTCATGGGCTACCAGAACGTGGAGGACGAGGCTGAGACCAAGAAGGTGCTGGGCCTGCAGGACACCATCACGGCAGAGCTGGTGGTCATTGAGGACGCTGCCACGCCCAAGGAACCAGCACCCCCCAACGGCAGCGCTGCCGAGCCCCCCGCCACCGCCGGCTCCAAGGAAGAGAACCAGGTGGGGCTCGAAGCCCCCCCCAGCGACCCCCAGGACCTGGACGTGAAGAAGCAGCGCTGTAAATGCTGCTCCGTGATGTGAGCCGGCCTGGCCCCGCCCCCAGCCCCCGCCCGCCGTCCACGAGCTCCCACCGGCCCGGCCTTCCTGGCACCCGCCCACCCTCACCCACAGTCACGGGCCCAGGACATGCCGTGTTGTCACTTGTTTCTTCTGAGTTTTCTTTAATTGGGAAGAGGGGGGCAGGGACCCTCCACTCTGCCACCACCTCCGACATACCCAAACCACGCCGTGTCCGTGCGCCTGGCAGGAGAGAGGCACGGACAGACCCACTTTTCCCAAAATGAGGACCCCCTATGACAGCTCCGCAGATGCAGTTCACGTCCACAGCGGTCTCGGCCGGTGCCAGGCCGGCACCTGCTCCAGGCCAGCTGCCCCCCGGGCCTCCTGCCTGTGCCTTCCTGCCACCTCCAATGAGGTCCCCAAGGAGACATCCTGCCAGAGGGACCTGAGGAGCCAGGGAGCCTGTGGGCCTGCCCTGTCCCCCTAGAGTTGGGCTCCTCAGGATTCCCTGGCCAAGGCACTGATCTCCGAATCTTGGGCATTTGGGGTGATACCCTGCCTCCTTGGGGAGCCCCGGAGGGCGATCAAGCTGGAGGTGTTGGGTCGGAGCACAGGCCCATCTGACACCCCAGCCTGATTGCCCTCCCCATGTCCTCTTTGGGGGCGGCCAGTGGATGGTGGAGCCCGGGGGAGGGGAGCCCTGGAACACCCCACACACTCTGGGGAGCGCATGACCCTGGGACTGGTTTCTGGATGGGGTGGGGCGGGGGTCTCTGAGCCCCCTGCATGAGCCAGGCCACAGGAGCAGCTTTTTGTCCTGAGCTCCAACCCCCACTGGGCCTACCTTCCTCCTGGTGCTAATTTGTGGACCCTGGGGGGCTGCCATGGCCCCCTTCTCCAGCCTGCTTGGACCAGGGTCCTGGGTCCCCCCACCGACACCCAGACATTGCTCGCCCCGCTGCTCTGTTGGGCTTGGAGCACCCCGGGCGGCCTGGGGGGGCGGGCGGCCACAGCCTCGGGGCAGGGAGGTTTCCCTGGGTGGGAGCAGGAAACCCCCATCTGCAGTGCAGCCCGGCATGAGCCTGCCCCCGCTGCAGGGAGGGTGCGGGGCTCCTCTCCTGGGGGCAGTGCACTCAGAGGGGTGCGCGGGGCTCCTGGTACAGCCGCCTCTCCCCCGAGGTGCATCAGTGTCTGTTCTCACTGACACCTCCCGTGCGTGGGCTGCGGATGGCCAGGCTCAGCTTTGGCCCTCCCCTAGGGACCTCTGCCTCGGACCCCGTGTCCAGGCCACCCCCAGACTCAGCGGGGTGGTGCAGCGTCCCTCAGACTGGAGCCCAGGCCCCCATCTCTGCTGTGCCCTCCGGTGGCTGGGAGGAGGGGCCCTCTCTGAGGGGGACCCTGGGCGGTGGCTGGGACCTCTCCCTCCTCCTCAAGCCCGCCCGAGTCCTCCAGCTGTGAGCCCGCCGCAGTGCTCTTGCTGCCCCTTGCTTTCGATGTGTGACCAGGCCCCAATGTCCTCCACTTATCCAGAGAAGCAAATAAACAGTGTGAACAGCAGGCCCTGGACTTCTTGGGTTGCGTCGGGGCGGGGCGGGGAGGGCGGGGTGGGCTCAGGGCAGAGGTGTGGCCCTGCCTGCTGCTCGGCCATAAAGGGAAGCGGGCGGCCCGGGCAGCGGGCTTCTCCCACCTGTGGCCCCTGCACCCCTCGGGCGCTCCCTGGTGCCTGTGGACGGGTGTTCTGGAGTCCCCGCCTGTCCTGAGCAGCACCTGGCCAGGTAAGACCCAGAGGTAAGGGGGCAGTGCCATGGCAAGACTTGCTTTCTGGGTCCTGTGAGTCCTTGGGTTCTGCACCCGACCCACCCTGTGTTCGGGCTGTGAGGCTGCCCCTTGCTGGGCTCACAGCACCCCCGGGGGAGCGGAGGGGGCCCCGCAGGCCTGGAAACCCAGGCCTGGAAATGGGTGGAGGGTGCGGGGGGAGCCTCTCCTGCTTCCTCTTCCCCGTGTGACTTGGGGGAAGCCATTGCTCACCCCCCCTCTGGTCAGCGCCCCGGCCTGGGAGCCCTGCCGTGGGCCCCTGGGCTCCACCGCCCCCGCCGCCGGCCGGTCTCCGTCCTCCTGGGCCTGGTCCCCGCGGCGCCAGCAGTGCTCACGCGCCGGAGACTGGGGTAGGGTGGGGACCCTACATTTTAAACCACAGCCCCGCCGGGCGCGCTACCCTTGGCCGGACTTAAAGCCTCCTGCGCTTCAGTTTCCATACGTGCACGGCCGCAACGGGCCCGTGGGGGGGGGTGAGGTCGGGCCAGACTCCGCGTGGGGCTTGAAGCGCGTGTCACCGGCACCGGCCGCCATTCTGGGCCGGGCCCTGGGAGGACAGAGCCTCAGCGTGGGCGGTGGAAGCCCAACCTGTGTCCCTCCACCGTAGACCGACCACCGGGCAGAGCAGCCTTAGGCGTTTCTCTGCACCCTACGGCCAAGCCCGGGCCTTGCAGCCTCAGGGGCTTCATCTCTGGGGGAGGGCGGGGGGCAGGGTCTGGGTCTTGCCCGTCTCATCTGTTTTCTTGTCCTTGTTCGTCCTTCGTGTGGAAGTGACCTGGCACTCCCTGGCAGCCCTGCGGGGAGCTGCTGCCAGATCCCCATTTCACGGAGGAGACAGAGGCTCAGGGGTTAAGTGGGATCTGAACCCCGGACCTGCTGAAACCCCAGAGACCACCCAGAAAGGGTCTGTTAGGGGGACAAGGAGCCCCAAAAGGTGGGCTGAGCCAGGTGGAGCTCAGACCCTCCCACCCACAAACGGGCACCTGGCTCACGGGTCTGTCGTGTGACCCCAGCGAGTGACACCCCCTTTCTGCGCAGCACTGAGAGGTGCTACGAGCCAGAGAGCAGCTCAGGGGAGGGCTCAGGGTGAGCTGCCACGCTGCAGGGCCGGGGGTAGCACGCAGTGGGCACGGTGCCCACCCTCCACCCTGCCCAGGTGTCGTCTTTCTCCCTCTTCCTCTCTACTTTGTTTTCTGGGCCCAGGTGAGGCCAGGGAGTGGGTTGCACCTGCTTCCCCGGGCGGGGCGTCCCCTGGCAACCAGGCGGGCAGGGCGGGGCCGGAGGTCTCCGGGCCCTGGATAGAGCTGGAGGGAGGCTCAGAGGCTGTGGGGCTGGAGTCGGCAGGTAAGACTGGGCATTTGGGGGCTCGGGATGGACACGAAACTCAAGCAGATTGGAGATCCTGCGTGGGGTGGGTTTGTCTTGGCCAGGGCTTTGGACCAGTTGGCCTGGTCTCATCTGGGGGGCCCTTGGGAAACAAGGAGGAAGACAGACCCACATCCCCAACCCACTCTGGGCCCCGGGGTGTCTGGGACTGGTGAGACCCTCCTCTGCATCCCCAGGGTGATGCTGCAGCCTTGGGGTCTTTCCGACCCTATCCCTACCAGGGGGACAGAGGCCGTGTCCCTGGACCTTTGAGGGCCTCGGTTTCCACCATAGGCATCAGATCCCCCCAGAACCCTGAATCCTAGCATTCTGAAGAAGGGGTCCGATTGGCACCCCCACCATGAGAGACCAGAAAGTCCCCCACTAGTTTCTGGAATTCTGGAGTCTTCTGGGAAGACACTTATCTGTGCTAGCCTGAGCTTTGCTCAGGGAGGCCTTGGGGAGTAAGTGACACCCCCTTGGAGTTCAGGGTCCAGAGAGGGCACACAGGAGCTGGGTGGGGTGGGGCAGAGTGTAGGGAGAGAGTGTCAAGATGCAGAGCTTGGAGCTCTGTCCAGCTCCAAGGGTGATGGGATCCCAAGGGGCTGGGGCAGAGATTGCGCCCAGGGCTCAGGTGCCTCCAGGCACTGGGGGCTCTGCCCAACTAGGGCCCCAGGGGGAATGCAGCCCCAAGAGCCTGAACCCTCCCTGCTATATGACCGGCCCTGTCAGGGCCTGGGCCTCTCTAGCAGGAGAGCAAGGGCAGGAGGCCAGATGAGGAAGCAGGTGTGTGGAGCAGGTCATAAACCCAGTTTCAGTCTGATACGGGACACGGTACAGGGTGGGGCCGGGAATAGCAATCCAGGTTTGCTTCCCGGAGGAGGAGGTGGCCCGTGAGGACCTTCAGGACCTGTTGCTTCATCACTCACTGTGTGACCTCAATGAGCAACTTCCCCTCTGTTCGCCTGTGTTCTCTACTATAAATGGGCAAGAAAAGTCCCCAGTTCATAGACTGTGAGGGCTCTCCGAGAGGCCGCTGAGGCTCTGTGACTGTTATTATCGATCATTTGAGCAGTACCTGCGAGGCTTCCCGGGGGCAATTTTCCCCTCCAGGGTTTCTCCGTACCCAGCCTATGTGCTTCCTTCTCCTGGGTTCCAAGTGGGGCCCAACATCCTATTTTGCAGACTGGGGGACCAGCTTTGCAAGACAGCACCTGGCCCAGGGTTACCCGGGATGAGAGGTGAGTTCAGGTTAAACACGACCTGCAGCCACCTTGTGGGTGCTGGCCATGCTCGGTGGCCTTTGGGGGATGCCAGGTGTTCTGGAGGCTCCATGCTGTGCAGGTGTAGACTAGGGCTAGAGGGGAACTGAGACTCGCCAAGCCCAGGGACCAGGGGTGGTGAACTTGAGCTCCAGCCTGAACCTCGCCCTGTTGGCCGCTGTGAATCACCGCAGGAAGTCTTGTCCCCACCCTTCCCCACCCTGCTGGGACACCCGCCCCTGATTGGCGGGGGATCTTTTTCCTGGAGTTAAGGTCTCAGGTGCTTTCTAAATCGCTAACCACCCACTCTACAAACATTCCTGTATCTCTCCCACTGTACCTGCCCCCTCCCCTGGGAGCCCTGGTTGTGGAGACAGCGGATAGGCTTGGGCCAACCCAATCCCCACATCCTGAGCACCCCACATCCTGAGCACCCGCAGTGAGTGGTGTTTGCAGTGACCACACCTGGCTCAGCCAGATTTCACTCAGTGCCTGCTGTATACCAGCCTCTGGGCTGCAGGGGTGGCTGCTGGGGCCACGGGAGGGAAGGTTCCAGGCTGGCGTTTTCAGGTGGCAAAATTCAGACCTCACTTTCTCTCCTTTCAAAGATGTGTCTGTCCCCAAGTTACCTCCAAGCAAAAGTCGCCGTCACAGTTCACGGTCATTGGGTTGGTGACTCAGCCTGGGATTTATTACCCAGTCTGCTTGCTTTTCACTATAGTTTTCTTATTCCAGTTTTAAATATTTGACACACAGAAAAGATTGCACAATGCGTAGATGTTGGTGATGACTTTGTTCCCTGTGGTCGGTGTCAGGGGGCACCCCCTGTCTCGGGGACGGCAGTGTTATTTTCCTTTTTAGGACTACATTCAGTTTTAGAAGCAAGTTGGTGTAAAGGCAGCAGATAATGGGGAAGGTCTGGTAGAGCCAGGGGTTTGATTTGCTGGGAACAGCCCATCCTTCTTTACTCAACTGTAAAAAGGTGACCCCGACACTCAGGTGCTGGGTCATGCTCCCAGGAGATGCTCGGGTGATGGGTTCCCAGGGAGAGGGCAGCCCCGGGGATTTCCTGGAGGAGCAATGCCAGGGGCTGCAGCTACGCAGTCTAGAGGGGCAGAAATGTGGGTACTAGAAATAGAGGGGCCTGCTGCAGGAGAATGAGTTTGGGGTAACTGCCTGCAGATCTTGGGGGTTTGGCCTGAGAGCAACTGGTGGCCTTGAATGCCCAGTGCTGGGCAAGGGAACTATACCCCGGAGATGCCAGGAAGCAAGGAGGTGTGATAACAGGCAGCTAACCCTCAAGGAGATTCCTGGAGGCAAGCGCAGCAAGAACTTAAGACACTTGGGCGTGGGTCAGTTTCCCCGGTCAGGGTGATGCCCAGCCCAGCAGGACAAGGTCCAAGGCTTTCCTGATCCCAGCCTAGCTTTATAGCTCTGTGTGGGAAGGGGCAGGCATTCCACCAGCAGGTGCAGGGAAATGAACAGACTGTGGGAACTCGAATCTCTACCTGTCCCTTCCCTTCTCTGAGCCTTGGTTTCCCCACTGGACACCCCTCAGCAAGGGACAGGCCTGTGGGGCTATCTGTAAACGTCAGACTGAAAACATCATAAACAGTATCTCAGAGTGCGTGCAGGGCGAGAGGCAGATACACATGCTGCTGGGGGCAGGGAGCTGCCAGGGGGTGTGTTGAGTCAGACACAACCATCTGGGGGAGAGGGAGAGGGGGGTGGTGGTATCTAGAGATGAGGCAACAGGGCCCTGCGAATGTCAGGCACATATGGGCCATGTTGTTGGGTCAACACAGGGATGGGGGATTCAGGAACAGCTGCATCCAGGAACCCAAATTATTTTCAGATACTGTGTTGAGTTGGGGCTGCTTTTGAGCAGTTTGTGTCCACAAGCAGGAACATATGACCCCCAGCAAGTCTAGCTTCATCCCACCATCTTAAGAGGGCCCAACTTTCCAGTTTATTGCACAGTCCCAGGATTTCATACCATCGGCCAGCCTGGGTCCTATGTCCATGTCTGAGACAACTGAGGAGGCCAGGAAATGGAATGCTCTGACTGGCAGGCCTGGGTCACCTACCCATCCCTGAACCAATCACAGAGGCCTCTTGTCCAGGACTTTTGCCCTCCGAGGGACTGGGGATTGTTCCTCTTCCTGTACCACGCCCAAGTGGCCTGACCTGTCATATCCTCCTCCCTAGCGAGCCCCCATCATCTGCCTGCTGAGAGCCTGTGGCACGCTGAGAAATGCAGAATATGGACCGCGTGACCCGATACCCCATCTTCAGCAGCTCCTACTCACCTCGAGTCACCGGCCTGGCCCTCGATGGGGACACCAGTTACACTTTCAGGCTGGTGGGTGTGGGGCCTGAGGCCAGTGACTGGAGCCAGGATGAGCCGCAGGGGTGGCCCGCTGGCCACAAGGCCCGGCTGGATGTGGTGCAAACGGGAGTGTCCCGCACGCTGCAAGGCTCACCCTCCCGGCTCTCCCAGTGGCCACTGTGCCCGGAAGACAATGAGGACGAAGAGATAAATGCCTACCTCCTGGACTCCAGGGATGCCCTGCCCAGGAGGCCGTGGGACCTGGAGCGAGAGCGCCGGGAAGTCATCCAGGGTCAGGTCGTCAAGAAGAGTGGCACGGTGGCCACGCTGCATGGCACCCCTGACCACAGGGACCCCAAGACCCCTGGCCAGCCTCAGCTCATGTCCCCCAACGAGAATGCAGTCGACACAGAACAGATAGACTTCCTGGCAGCGAGGCAGCAGTTCCTGAGCCTGGAACAGGCCAACGGGGAGGTTCCCCAGACCCCACCAGCTAGGGTGGCTCCTACGTATACCACACCCAGGGCGAGTCAGGCCCCCAAGCCCCTCAACAGTCTGCCCCGGGCCAATGGGTACACTGTCCCCACCAAGCCCCAGGCGAAGGAGGCCGTGGAAGAGAAGAGCAGTCGCACTTGGTCCATTCGGTCTGGTGTCCGAGCTGTGGCCAGCCCTGCCTCCTGGTCCCAAGAGGAGTCACCGGAGCTCCCCAAAGAGACCCCCATAGAGCGGGAGATCCGACTGGCCCAAGAGCGGGAAAGGGACCTCCGAGAGCAGAGGGGGCTGCGGCGGGCGGCCAGCCACCAGGAGCTGGTGGAGATCCCCACCAGGCCGCTGCTGGCCAAGGTGAGCCTAACCACACCCCCGCGGCGGGACAGGGGCCGCCCATCCCTCTACGTGCAGCGAGACATTGCGCAGGAGACTCAGCGCGAGGAGGACCACCGGCGGGAGGGCCTGCAGGTGGACCGGGCAGCCACTCCTGACTGGGTCTCCCAGGGCCCCCAGCCTGCCCTCAGGAGAGTCCTCAGCTCAGACTCCATCCTCAGCCTGGCCCCAGACGCCAGTGCGGCTGACCCGCCTCCAGAGATGCGGAAGGTGAACCGCATCCCGCCTGATGCCTACCACCCCTACCTGGGCTCCGGGACCCCCCCGTTAGAATTCCCAGCCTCCCGCACCTACGGCAAAGCCAGGGGGCTCCCTGAATATGAGGCCAAGACTGTGGGCTCTCCGAAGGTCGCAGGGTCTCAGCGGCGCCTCTCAGAAAGCTCTGGAAAAACCTCAGGCATAAAGCAGGAACACTGGAAACCCCAGCAGGGACCCCTACAAGCCGATGGGGGTGTCGTCCGGAGGGAGTACTTCTTGCTGCGCCCTCTGCGGTTCAGGTTCCCAGACACGCCACAGCGGGATGAGGACCCCAGGGGTCGGGACTGGCCAGTAGCCGGGACCCCAATGTTTCGGCTACAACGGTCCCAGTCATCTGAGCTGCTGGAGAAAGAGGTGGAGAACGTCTTGCGCCGCGAGAGGGAAGTGGCCGAGGAGCGGCGGAATGCCCTGTTTCCCCAGGTCTTCTCCCCGACGTGGGATGAGGACAGCGACCAAGACTCCAGTTCTTCTCGGGCATCTGGTAAGAGCGGGCCCCAGGAATGGCTGCTTGGATTTGGGTATCGGAGGTTGGAGCAGAGGTGGAGTTTGGGGATGTCAAGAGGGGCTGAGGGTAGGGGGACATCTTGGGAGCCCTGTCCACACCTCCAAGTGGCTGGTCTCTCTGCCTGCCTGTCTGCTTAAACTGGAGGTTCAACTTTGCCTTAGGATTTTTATTTTATGAATTTGGAGCCTTTGTTATTAGATGCATACAGGTTTACAGATGTTCTAGTCTCTCGGTCGATAGCTCCTTTCTAACAATACGAAATATCCCTGTCACCTTAAATGACTTTCCCCTTGCGTGCTTGACCCACTGTCTATCCGGTCTCTGCTGACGGCCTCTTTTGCTCATCCGTCTGTCAGTTTCCCCAAGTAGCTTTCTGCTCTGTCTGCCCATTCACCCATTTTCTTTACTGGTCCAGCTTTAGAGACTATGTCTCCTGGGCTGGGGTCTGATAGATGTTCTGTCCTCAGCGGACGCTGGAACCCTCCCTGATGAGCTTTCCTCCACCTGGCTTCCCAACAGGCACCACGGGCAGCTACTGCGTGAATGAGCCGTGTTCCCTCACCCCTGAGCGCGTGCACTCAGGCCCGAGATGGACAGCAGAGGCCCCTAGTGAAGATGGTTCTGGGCGGACAAAGAAGGAGCAGTGGGTGAGTCTAGAACCCTGCCTGCGCCCCCAGAGGTGTGGCTGAGACTGCTGTATTCCTGGGGGACCCCAGGAGGATCAAGGGAGACCTGACTCTGACCCAGGTTCGCGTTCTATCGCCCTTGCTGCCCTGCGGGCGACTGTGCCTCCGTGTCTCCCCCACGTGAGATGCAGAGTGGATAACATCAGCATCTCTTCCTGTCTGGACGTCTCCTCTCAGAGCCACTTAGGCAGAGTCCCCAGGGTCCCCCTCGACTCAAAGACTGAGGGACAAGCTCTGCTTGGAGAAGAGTAGTGGCAATTTATCGATATCATTGGTATTGTCTTAATGTATTTATTACTGTTATCATTATTTTGTGATGATATTTTGTTATGATTATTTTGTGATCACACTGCACATCCCACCCTGAACACCTGGGGGGCTGTCCTGTCATGCCCCTTGTACCCACCGTCAGTTGGCTTGCAAGTGCCTGGTTGGACTCCATACCACACCTTTGTGCTGATGAGTCCCTCTCCTGTGCAGAGTCCCCACAACCTGGCCAGTAGTTTGGGGCACAGAGTGGAGCCCTGGGTAACCTGAGTAACCCGGGTTCGAGTCTTAGCCCTGCCCTTCACCAGCTGTGAGGCTGAGCAAAGCCCTGCCCCCCCTCTGACCCTCAGTTTTCCCCTAAAATGCGTGTGATGACAAGAACAGCCTCTCCGAGCGTGCGAGCAAGCACTCCGTAATAACGCGCATTGTCTTTATTACAGTGACGTTTACAAAGAGGAAATAACTTGAAATGATGGACAGACGCTGTATTGGGGAACAGCTGTACTGGGGAACAGCATGAGGGAACAGGAGGGAGGACGGCTTGAGTTCGGGGTGATCAAGGGACGCTTGGGAGGGAAATGCCTCCTTTCTGCCCCCAGTGGCGACCAAGTGGGGTCTGCACGGACTTGCATTCCGGGCGGAGGGGCAGGCAGGCCTTGGGGGCTGACTTGTGTTCTTTTCCCTTAGTACGCGGGCATCAACCCCTCGGACCGCGTGGACTCGGCGGTGAGTGTGCCCTGGAGGGAGGACGCAAGTCTGCCCCTCCCCAGTCTGTGTCCCCCTTCTTCATGGTCTTGGGGCCTTCACAAGTCTTTCTTTTGTGTGTGAGGACTTAACTGGTGTTTTCTTTCTTTTTTTTTTTTTTTTAAAGATTTGGTATTTATTTATTTGTTTGTTTGTTTGTTTATTTATTTATGTGTACAAGAACTGGGGTGTAGCCCAGAGGTGCGGGGGTGGGAGGGAAGGATTTACCTGAGACAGAGCAGGGAGCAGGACAGGAGGATCAACTGAGATCCACTGCTGAGGGGAGCAGCGGGGAGACTGGAGAGGCCTGCTACACCCTGTGGGTCAGCTCCCTGCCCAGGGATCAAACTCATGCCACAGTGGCTGCCAATAGCTTCATAGTGCTGAGAGTTTAACCCCTGCACCACCAGGGGAGCCCCTTAACTAGTATTTTCTTGATTGGCTTCCTGAGGTAGATTTTCCTATGATCTAATTTTGATACCTGTCGTGGCATAGATTGTGGAAAAGGGGTTCACGTGCTGTTTCTTTACCAAATGGTGAAGGTTTGAGGACAGATTGAGCCTAAGATAAGGGCATTTTCTTTGGGGGAGAGAGTCATATAAGTGTATTTAGAAGTCCAGCTACCAGGGCCTCCCCTGCCACCCGGCCACCAGGCAAGGGTCCCACATGGCGCGCAGACCTCTCCTGCCGCCCGCTGCTCCCCTCAGCAGTGTACTTCGGTCCTTCTGCCTGCTCTGCTCTGACTCTGGTGAATTCTCTCACCGTCCCGCGCTTCTGACTGTACCCGGTGCTTGTATAAATAAATAAATAAATCTTTAAAAAAAAATAAAAAGGAAGTCCAGCTACCTCAGTAGATTTCTGGAATATGTTTGTGGCGCTCCTTGAGCTGAGTCCAAAATAAGTCTGAAAGGCATTTTCCCTGCTACAGAGTTCAGTATGAATTATGACATTCTTTGGCCATATTACTAGGAGTAGAAGATCTGAAACAGAGGAGGAGATGTTCATGCTTATCAGTGTTCGAGGCCTCCCCTATGAGTTGGCAGTGGGGGGAGAGAGGAAGGTGGGGTAGGACCCTTGTGGGAACTCCGTGCCTTCTTCTGCAGGTCCTGGAGGCCACGCGGGTGACCCGCCGCAAGAGTGCCATGGCAGAACGCTGGGAAGCTCGCATTTATGCTGGTGAAGATGAGGAGTGAACCTGGGGACAAGGACCTCCCCACCCTGTCCTGCCCTGCCTTGCCCTCTGTGGGAACTGCCAAGACTATCACCAGTCCCCCCGCCCTAGGAAAGAGGTCCTTGTCAACACCCCACCATCTGAGAACCACAAATCAGACGCTAACATCCACCAAGGGTAGATGTACTTCAGACTTTAAGGTGGTTTTTTTTTTTCCATTTTGTTTTTTCTAGTTTCCTAAAATAGAAATTGTTCTGTTTTATGTGTCTAAAGCTCTGGTTGATATAGAACCTCTGTCAGTTCTTTCTGTTTCCAAGACTTTGCCAAACACTGGAGTCCAAGAAGGAAAGAGACCAGTTTTCCACCTGCCCCAGCTCCAGCCCTGATTGTTCCCACTAGTCCACGAGTGGAGTGGCTGGTCAGGAGGGAGGTGGGGTCCTGGCACAATGGGGAGCTGAGAGGCTGAGGGGGGAGACACTCTGTTCCTCCCCCTAAGAAATCCCAGTCTGAGAAGGGAAACCTGCCCTGGTCCAGCCCTGGAGAAACTTCTGGTCCCGGGGAAGAGAACTAAGCACCTCTGTGCCTCCTCCAACCCTCTCTGCAGCACGCGGTCCATGGGGACAGCCCCCCACCTGGCAAAGAAAAGGGCTCCATTTGAGGGCAGGAAGGGGTCCTTCTGTTCTGCCCCCAAATTGCTTGTTCTCATCCATCGAGAAATAAACACAGAGTGAGCTTCCAGCCCATCTCCTGCCTGACTGGGGGACCTGCCCTGAGCCTCCCCCTTTTTTATCGTTCTTCTGGGAGACGCTTGTTGCTCCGGGGTGCTGTTTCCTACCCCCTGTTCTGGTCTTCTAGCCTCGCGTGGGGCTGTCAGGACCCTACCAGCATTCCTGGGGGCCGAGTGCTACGGTGCTCACCCATGCTTGGGGGTGATCAAGGGCTGTTTTTAAGAACATAAAGCCCCTGCCCCTGCCCCTTCCTTGTCAATAGCATCAATCCTAGTTCTGGTGCTCACAGCACTTATTAAGCGCTTGTTCCCAACAGGTCTGGCTTCAGGGAAGGCTAGAGGGGCAGTAAAGGGATTTGTGTGTATCCTGGGCTCAGGCTGGCGGGTGAGCTCATCTAGTCAAGGATGTAGGAGTAGGACCCACATCTCAGCTCTGCAGCCACTGGCTGTGTGGTCCTGTCTTCTGATCACGCTGCCTCGGTTTCCCCTGCAATAGGGTAGTGATAAGACCAGTCTCCTGGGTGGTTATATAAACTTGCTAATGTAAACTGGGGAGCATTGACCCCTGATTCAGAACCCAATGGCAACCCCTTCCAATGGCTCCAGCCTCTGGGCTCCCCCAACCCCCTGGAGCAGCTGGCGGTAACTCACCCACCCCTGGGGGCTGTCACCTCCCTACAGTTGTGTGGTTTACAGCTGCCTCCAGGGAAACCACATGAGGCTATTTCAGGAAATCTTCCTTGAAGCTGTCCCAAGCCAGGCCCAGGAGGTTGGGGTGGGCCTGAAAGGGGGGGTGTGGGGGGTGTGGAGGAGGGTGTGTTGGGGGGCAGGACTGCCCAGCCTGAGGCACACTTGGCAAGAGGAGGAAGGTGCAACAGAGACAAACTTAGAGAGGAGGTCCCCATCTAGGAGAGAAGGCTCTGTTTCCAGACACCCCAGAAGGCGGGAGGGAAGCAGGCCGCTGTCTGCAAGAAGCCGAGCTCCCCTTGGTGGCCAAGGTCAGCTTATCCCCTGGGTCAGCAATTACGTGTCAGCCCAAGAACCAAATGTGGGGCCCATCCACCCTTTAGGAAGGCAGTTTTGGGGCCTTGGGCTTCTCTCTGTCTCTGTCCCACTGCGGACGTGTGAGGGCTGCTGTGACAAGTCACCAGATTTGGTGGCTGTAGGGTAAGGGTCAGGCTTTTGCCCGCTGGCCTCTGTGGCCATCACCTGTGGCCTCGAATGCAGGAGGCGCTTGGGAGCCTGGGCTGGGGCGCGCATGCCTGAAGGTGGACGGCGGGAGTGTGGTGTGGGGCGTGCAGGTGTGGGCGCGCCGCGAGGCAGAGGCTATAAGGGCGGAGTCACGGAGGACGGACAATGGTGGAGAACAGCAAGAGGGAACGCCAGAGAAAGCCCAAAGAGTAAAGATTCGCCGGCCCCCCTGCTCTCCCTGCACCTGGTTGCTGGCACGACAGTGGCTTAAAACCACACACATTCTGGGTTTTGGCACCAAAAACAAACAAAAAACCCACACACATTTATCATCTCACAGTCCTGAGGCCCAGTGTCCAAAAAGGTCTCACAGGGCTGAGCCTGGGTGGGGCAGGCTGCTCTTCTGAGGCTCCAGGGCCCGTCTCCGGCCTGTTCCAGAGGCGCCGCATCCAGGTCCTTTCTCCGTCCTCACAGCCAGCAGCGTCTTCCCGGCCCTCTGCCCCTGACCCTCCTCCTCCCTCTGTAAGGACCCTTGGGAGGACACTGGCCCCGGGAATGCAGGACCCCCCATCTCAGGGGCCTCGATTCAGTCCTCTGCAGAGCCCTCTTCACTACACGGGGTGATTTGCTGTCTGAAAAAAAACTAGGGACCTCCCTGTTGGTGCAAGGGTATATGTCTCAGCACTATGAAGCCGTCGCCAGCCACTGCCAGGGAGCTACCCACATGGCGCAGCAGACCTCTCCTGTCTCCGCGCTGCTCCCCTCAGCAGTGCATTTCAGTAGATCTGCCTGTTCTGCTCCCCACCCTGTCTCTGGTGAGTCCTCTCACCCCCCAACCCTCCACTGCACCGCTGGCCTGTACCCCAGCTCTTGTATGCATAAATAAATAAATCTTAAAAAAAAAAAAAAAGGCAAAAACTGGAAGCATCCTGCAAAATACATCGGCTCCAAAATTCTTGATTTGTATGGCCCGTAGGCTCTGATGGGGCCTTGAGATGTCTTGCTTTGCTTTATTTTAATGGGGCATCCCCTTTAGAAAAGGGGGACAGTTCTATTCACCATTAAGGCTGACATCCCAGATGGAGCCGGTTTGAGTGAGTTCTTGGTGGAATGTCCAAAGGAGGAGGCCGCCTGGAAGGGGCAGGAACTGCGGGGAGACTCAGGCTGAAAGAGAGGCCCAGAGCTGTGTTGTGAGTCCGGCTGCGGGTCCCGGGAGGCCCCTCATCTTTCATGCAAAGGGTGGATATTCTTTCCTGGTTTTCTCCAACTCGGTGTGTTTTGATTAGGGAAGGAACCAGAATCTCCCAGGTCGCCAGAGAGGCTGAAATATAAGCCAAGTTTCTGAGTAAAAAAGTCCCAGTTCACCTCCCTCCCACGCCTGCTTCTCAGCACCTTCACTGTCCCCGTTTCTCTCGCTCCATTAACTCCCGAGGGCCGTGTGGAGCTGGGGCCAGGAGTCAGCGCCCTCCTTGCTCCACGCGCGCTGGCTGTGCACGTCGGCCTGCTCCCCCCCCCGCGGCCTCAGAGTGGGTTCTGCCGGGCTCGCTCACGCGCTGGGGGCTGGGGGCACCTGCACATCCGGAGTGGGGCTGCTGTCAGCCTGGGTGAGACAAAGCCAGAGGCCCAGCTCCGCTTCTACTCCACGTCCCATGTACCATTTAGGACACGCTTTTAAAAGTCCCCTCATTGTTTATTTGAAGCTCAACTGTAACTGCGTATCTTGTATTTGCACTGGCTAAAGCTGACCCCTAGTTATCTCCGCCATGCTGGCCAGTGGTTCCTTGAGGAAGCTGCAGGAAAGGCTGAAATATAAGCATTTTAAAGGTCATTGCTTGAGTCACACTGGTCGGCTCCAGTCATGCGAAAAACCCTGAGTCCAGACGGGCTATAGTGGAACTCGGGGCCATTTTGGAATGTGACCCGCCCTGCTCATTTCCTCATCTGTGGCTGGAGGAGCCATAGAGCGGTGCCCCCTCAGTGTGGTGGTGGGGTCAGCTGTTTAACAGAGATCGCCTGGGAGACAGGAAGTGCAAAGTCATGTTGGCTCTTGTGATGGTTGGATTCCTGTCTGTTGTCTCACGAGAAAAGGGACTTGGGGTCTGTCTCCTCACTGGACCCTGTTCCCATAAAATCATGGGTGCTCAATAAACACAGTCAGCCTCACACCAGCTTCTCGGTGTGGGGCAATGCTTGAGTTACCAGGACACAGTAGTGATCAGAGGACAGTGTCCACGCCCACAGATTAAACAATGACACTTAAGTATGTGTGACATGATATGGGGGACTGGGAGGGGCACAGCACAAGCACAATAAAAACCCATAAGCTAGTAAAGTGGCTTCCTGAGCCAGTGTGGGAGGGGGAGATCAGGGAAGAGTCACCCTTGAGCAGAGGCCAAATGGGGTTGAGAGAATGAATTAGGTAGAGGGCACAGCATGTGCAAAGGTCCTGAGGCAGCACGCGCTTGGCTGTTAGAGGAATAGGGGTCTGTGTAACTGGAGATGAGTGAGCCAGGTGGCCAGAGGGAGGGGATGAGGGCAGGGAGGGAGCAAGGAGGTGGTGGTGCAGGCTTTCACTCCAATTGACAGCATTGAGGGGCTCCCGTATGCCCCCCAAGGGCTATAGCGCCTCTGGTGACTGCAGGAAAACAGCCTACATCATCAGGATGAGGTGGACCTGGCATCTTAGAGGTAGGTGACCAAGCCTCTCAGGTTTTTGGCAAGTAAATGTAAGTAAGAACTGTTTGTGGAGGGAAAGCTGAAAATGTGGCCCCAAAGTCCATCTCTCACTGCCCAATGGTGCTTGGGTTTCTGAAGTATGGACTCTATGTTAGTAGGACCTCGGCTCTCCAGTGCTTCCTCTATGACACACAGAGAGCAAACTGGAAGGGTCCTGACTGACGGCACTCACGGGGTGACACAGCCACCATCCCCACATGGGCACCAGCTGGGGACCATGAACATCATCAGGTTTTCCTGAAATGCCTGGACTCTCAAAGGGACTCATTCCAATGTTAAAACCCACAACCATTTTCAAATACACAAAAGAGGGGGCCTCCCCAGTGGCGCAGCTGTTGAGCGCTGGGTTGCGAAGCTGCCCGCAGCCTC